TGGGGTAGGCTTCTCTGAAGAGATGGGTTTTCAGGGTGCGCCTAAAGGTGAGGAGGGTAGGTGACAGTCTGATAGATTGGGGTAGTGAGTTCCAGAGGATGGGGGAAGCCCTGGAGAAGTCCTAGAGACGGTCATGGGAGGAGGAGACCAGGGAACTAGAGAGTAGGTCTTGTGAGGAGCAGGAGAGTGCATTTTGGGTGGTAGATGGATATCAGGTCAGTGATGTAGTTTGGGGCAGTGTTATGAACAGCTTTGTACGTCAATGTTAATAATTAGAATTTTATGCGTTGGGCAATCGGAAGCCAGTGGAGGGATTGGCAGAGGGGGGTGGCGAATACAGAGCGGTTAGTAAGTTGGATGAGTCTGGCCGCAGAATTCAGGATAGACTGAAGCGGGGATAGCCTGTGTTGAGGTAGGCCAGCGAAGAGGAAGTTACAGTAGTCAAGTCATGATATAATAAGGGAGTGAATGAGTTGCTTAGTAGTTTCCGGGGTTAGGAACGGACGTATCTTGGAGATGTTGCGGAGGTGAAGTCTGCATGAATTTGTCAGCGATTGGGGCTGGAAAGACAGATTGGAGTCTAGAATGACACCTAGTAATCTGGCTTGCGGGGTGGGGCTGATGGTGGTGCTGTTGGTCATGATGGAGAGGTCAGGGGGGGAGGGGCGTGGGAGGAAGTGGAGTGACATCCAGTCTGATATGTCGTTCAGAAGGCTAGTGATGCGGCAGAGACTGAAGGGGTGAGGTGAGGGGTAGAGAGATAGATTTGAGTGTCATCAGCATAGAGATGGTAGTTGAAGCCGTGGGAGTGTATCAGTTGACCAAGGGAGGAGGTGTAGATGGAAGAGAAGGGGCCCAATTACAGAACCTTGGGGGACTCCAACAGAGAGGGGGAGTGAGGGGGAGGTGGCAGCGTTATAGGTAACACTGAAGGAGCGTTGTGATAGATAGGAAGAGAGCCAGGAGAGAGCGGAGTCTCTGAGGCCAAAAGAGTATAGTTTTTTTTTTGAGGAGGGGGTGGTCTACCGTGTCGAAAGCCGCAGAGAGGTTGAGGAGTAGTAGCACTAAGTAGTGGCCATTGGCTTTGGTGGTTAGCAGGTCATTGGTGAGTTTGAGTAGGACGGTTTTGGTGGCGTGTAGGGGACGGAAGCCAGATTGTAGGGGATCAAGGAGGTTGTTGTCGGTGAGGTGGGAGCTTAGGCGAAGTGCTCAAGGAGTTTGGATGTAAATGGCAGCAGGGAGATGGGTCTAAGGTTGTTTAGGTCGGTGGGATCCAGGGAGGATTTTTTAAGTATGGGAGTGATGTGCGCGTGCTTCAGAGGGGAGGGGAATGCGCCAGTAGAGAGGGAGAGATTAAAGATGTGAGTGAGGGAGCGTAGGATGGACGAGGAGGGTGGTCATAGGAGTTGTTGTGTGGCGACAGGGTCAAGGGGGCATGTGGTAAGGCACATAGTGTGGATTGGACAGTGCTGTTCTTTATGATGTGCCTTTGACATTATTGTCATTTGTGAGTATAATACCTATCTTTATTCCTTTAATAAATGTTTTTTAAGGTAATGCACTAGGCCGGTGCGCCCTCTGTTTGTTTTCTTTATATCCAGTGCATTTGGACTTCCCCAGTCCTTTGAGGGCAGCAAGAAGTGCACATTCCAGGACATCCGAGTTGTGGTTATAGCCTATATTGAGTCCATCCCCAAGCGGAGGAGTATTTGGATTTGCTTTTTTTTACTATATAAAGAGATGTCTTTGAATACCCATTTGTGGAACATACATACATCCAAAGTGGAAACAGCTTATGCAAGTGACTTGGAGATTTTTGAACCCAAACCATGGATGGCTCGTTGTAAGCATAATAATTTGTTGGATTTTTGGTTTAGTTTGATTAACATAGTGGGAGATTATTTTGTGGTAATATTTGATACTGCGATATATAGCCTCTCTAATTGAGAGGGGCATTAATTTAAATCCAGAAAATTGACTATGTTATTTCAAACTATTTAATAAGACCATTATTTCGGAGACATAGAATTCATCCTATTAAGGATTGATGTGGTGGTATTATTCCCCCTTCTTCCTTTTATAACAGTGGGTGGTGAGGCTTCAGAGGTCCTTGTGTGTATCCAACCAGGGCGCTGGCGGCAACTGTTTATTACACCTTGGCTATAGTAGATAGCCTCCATATCAAACAGATTATGATATACATAAGACAAATTATTTTTATTGGAAAATAATTTACTATTTTTCCTTGAAACATTATTTGTTGCAATGTAGAATGTAGTTGATTGTGATAAGAACCTTATATTGCAGAGAGGTATGATTTCCCTGAGGAAGAAGGTAGTGAAAAAAAGCTTTGAAACGCATAGGATACCCCAAGCTAACCAACCAACATTCAAGAACCAACAGATTGTGCCAGTGTGGACATGTTCTGTACATGTAATAGCTGGGGATATCACTGCATAGAAATTGTTAATGTGTATGGTTCTGGAAATAAATTTTGTAATAGAGATGTAAAGAATGGTATTTTTATGTGAAGAATATGGATATGTGAAGTAATGTATGCCAAAGCTTTTTTTCAACTTCATTGACTTTTTGTCAATATAAGGGTCGAAATAATTCAATAGAAATATGTTTTTAAAAAGTATATACCATTTGCTGTATGGTTGCCTTTAAAATCCCAAGAGAAAAGGGGTTTTTCAAACAATGAGAACAATTGTTCCTAGGAGACAGCACTATCCATGGGATTGGTGAGTGGGTGGATGTCCAACCTATTTTTGTTATCATTCTAGAGAAACTGCATGCAGACATCTTTACACCTCAGTTACCAGGAGACCTTTGTGTTGAGCAGTACAGCAGCTTATCTGTTTAACTTCATCGAATCACCAGTATTCACTAATGGTTATGGGCCCCACTATTGCTAGCAGAAGACAGTGTATACTACCATATCAGGGACTTTAAACATCGCCGGACTCAAGTTGCAATCTCTGTTTAACGGAACCTTTTTTCTTCTCAAGGCCATTGTAATTCAATTTAGAGTACATTTATCTATTTAAGGCAGAGTATACATTTACATAAATATAGCACCAGTGGCACGGAGGGAGCTGATAAGTAAACAAGCAATTCTTCTCCCTCTTGCTGCTGCTGTTACAATTTTATAGTTGAAGCTTACTATTCATGACTGTATAACCTGTTAAACATTGCTAATTGATTATTCCTATTTTATCAGTGTTCTGCCTTTATGCTTTAACTGGGGTCTTATACCCTAAACCCATTATTCCTGTAGCCTACCCTTTTGAACACGTCTAATATAGAGGTGTTACTAAAGAATTGTGCCTCTTGTGTTATTATTCTATACTGTTGAAATATGTCTGAACCCAGAGTGTCAGAGGTGAAAGGCGGCTTGCAAGGTCAGGGAAATCGGTAACTGCAGGGGACAAACATTATCAAGCGGCCCCTATGGGGGTAGCGCTACATTTGAATAGATTTTCTCCCACTTCCTGTTGTGTCTATACTACATGTAGTAAAAGGGAAGCTTCTTAAATAGGACACTGATAGCAAAAAAAAAATTACAAGGCTTTAAAACATTCCCTACTCCCTTGATGCCCAATACATTGCCTATAGGCCACATCTAAGGCTAGGTTCCCATCTATACATGTGTAGTTCATGCAATTTTGTGGTGCATCTTTGATTAATTTTTTTAAACATTTTCATGCTTCTGCATTTTTTTTGTAGCAGGAGACTGGTTGTTAAACACAAAACCCTACCAAAAAACACCAAAAATACATGTACATGTGTTTTTTTGATGCCTTTTTGATGCAGTTCCATTGAAGTCTATGGAGCGAAAAATGCACTGTGCTGCATATGTAAGAAAGTCCTTGCCCCTTTTTTTCCAAAAATGCACTGCAGGAAACTGCATAAATATGAATGGGACTGGATGGAAATAATGTTAAATGGATTGTGGTGTGTTCCTGCAGATACACAAATGCTCTACATAAAGATCTACATACTGCTAGAGAAAAGAGAGCTGAAGTGTGAAAAGGAAATGCAGATATTGTGAGTTAGGCTTTGTTCACACATGTGCACAACCATGTGAGGGCCATGTTTGCCCACATGGGATCCACAAGTGTTCTGTTCATCTGTGTGCAAGCAGTCCCATTCACATCAATTGGGATGCAGTAACTGCACGAAAGCAGACGCTGCTCACAATTTGACATACGTGTTGGTGCAGGTTCATATGGGTGCGTGCCCCTTAAGTCACCAGTCACACCGCTGAGATTTAAAATTGCGTGAATTGTGTGCAATTTCAGCACAATTTCAGGTACAATCTGAAGACTTTGTTGCAACTTGAAGATTTTCAATGATTTCTTGCGATTTGCATTGTGATTTCCATTATATTCTATATATGTGAAATCGCAGTAAACTGCAGAAAAAGTAATGCGAGAACTACTTTAGAAATCGTGCTGGAGCACATTGCATTTTAAGACACTGACATTCACATTCATTAGATGTGAATGCAGGTGCGATTTCAATTTTCAAATCGGACCTGAAATCGCACTGGTATGACCGGGCACTAAATCAGACAATGGGAGCATGAGGACAAACCCCTGCCTTCACACAAATGTCAAACTGGGAGCAGCGGCTGTATCTGTGCATCTAGTGCATCCCAACTTACATGAATGGGACTAGCTGCATGCGGATGCGCAGAACCCCTGTGCATTCTGTGCAGTCAAATACAGCCCTCACATGGGTTTACACGTAAGTATGCCCATGTGAACAAGGTCCTAAATAAATACAATATTGTGAGTTAACCGCTTCCACTCCGCCCTACAGCATAAATACTGCTACAGGGCAGCAGAGGTGTGTAAAATCACATATATGTATGTGATTTTGCAGTTCCAAGTAGAGGGCGTGGGCGTGGCTCGCGTGTTCCCTACCTACGCCGCCATACGTAGCCTCAGCTGTCAATCACCGTGTCCCAGCCAGTGATTACTCGCCGGTACCCAGTGATCACCAAGTGTCTCCCGATGGGGGAGAAACCTGTATGTAATATTACAGACCTGTCCCTCTGTCAGCTCCTTCACACTGCTTTGTATGGCTCTGCATAGCAGAACCATACAAAGCAGTGTGCTTATTGTGAAACACAGACACAGCCCACATAGTAAAACAGCACACAGTTAACACTTTGATCGCCCCACATGTTAACCCCTTCCTGCCCAGTCCCGTTAGTACAGTGTCAGTGCTTTTTATTAGGTAAAAATGAATAATAGTGAGCGCTCTTATTGAACACAGCAGCTAAAGCACCGAAGGCAACCACAATGCCTTTAAATGTAAAGTATAAACAAAAGGTAATATGGTGCAGCGCTAGAAGAATATAAACTGAAAACAGTCCAAAAGTCAATGTGATAATAGCCGTGGTTTCTTATATAGGGTGCAGACTTTCAAAGCTCTTGCGGCCTTAAATAATAGCAATGCGCACTCACCAGAAACGCATGGATTATGCGCATGTAGGAATAATCCCAGATGTCAGATCCTCCAACATTCAGATAGCATGCATCCCTCTCACGGTGGGTCCCTGAAGACTCAAACCAGATCCTGAGGTCCTCCTTAAGGTGTATCAGGTACTTCACAATGGTGGTGGGACTCTCTCCACTAAGTGGTAATGGCACCTTCTCTGTGGGGGTAACAGCTCCAAATAGGAGCCCCAGAAAAAACACAGGTGCCAGAGATAGTGTAGTATGTTAAAGGAATTTATTTGCCTTAGCATAAAAATATATATAGGGTAGCATGCAAAACCAGACCCATACAGGTTAACAAGGATAAGGTAGCAGTGACTGACCCTCAGTAAAGATGCCTCCTCGTGGCTCCGGCGGTACGAATGACGTCACGCTCTGTACAGCTCCTCCTGTACATAATCCATGCGTTTCTGGTGAGTGCGCATTGCTATTATTTAAGGCCCCGCAAGAGCTTTGAAAGTCTGCACCCTATATAAGAAACCACGGCTATTATCACATTGACTTTTGGACTGTTTTCAGTTTATATTCTTCTAGCGCTGCACCATATTACCTTTTGTTTAGTGCTTTTTATTAGCACTGACCACTGTACTGGTGTCACTGGGGATGTCAATGACACCAAATCAGTTCCCCCCCAGTGTCAGAATGCCTGCCGCAGCCCCGCGTTCCCGCTATAAGTTGCTGATCACCACCATTACTAGCATAAAAGAAAAAAAATCCCAGTATCTTTCCCGCCATTTGTAAATGCTATAAACTTTCACATAAACCAAATAATTTACATGTATTGGAATTTTCTCTTAGCAAAGACATGTAGCAGAATACATTTTGGTCTAAATTTATAACGAAATTAGATTTTTCTAATTTTTTTACTGGACATGTTTAATAGCAAAAAGGCAAACCGATCTTTTTTTCTTTAAATTGTCTGTTTTTTTTTATAGTGCACAGGCAATCAAATACCACCAAAAGAAAGCTCTATTTGTGGGGAAAAAAAGACGTAAATTTCATTTGGGCGCAGCTTTTCATCAATTGTTAGGTAAAGTAATGCAGAGCCGTATTGCAAAAAAAATGGCCTGGTCAGGAAGGGGGGTAAATCCTCTGGAGGACAAGTGGTTAATCTAAGTTAATTCTTAAGCATTAAATATTTATTCATTTTTCTAACAGGTACTATTCTAACATGTACTTTCAGTACATGAACGACAGTCAAAAGAATATAAAAATTTCTTATTCCCAATTCCTATTGGTGGAAGTCCTGGCTCTGGTTAGTTAGTAAAAGTATTCAGCAGCCTTAATGATAATTCTTGTGAAATGAAAACCAGGGATGGATGGATGAGAGGATGGATGGAGAGCTATAATGAAATTCCGCTGCTTGGCACATCAGATCTGGGAGGAATCCTCAATGGCATATAGAGGACAACAAGGTAGCCAAAGTGCAGGACTTAGGAAAAACAAAGTGTCATTTGTTAAACAAACAAATATCCATACTTACCTTTAGGCTGGGTTCACACTGATGCGGTGCGGAATTCGTAGAGTTTTCTGTGCAAATTCTGCATCAAAATTGCACCCCATTCATGCGAACCGATGCGGGTGTGTATGTTAAGCTAACAACACCCCAAAATCGGTACGCAAAGCATGGTGCGATGTGCAGAATCGGATCGCATAGATGTGAATATCAATGCGATCCGATTCTAGTGCGTATCCAAAAAAATGGTCGTGCACCTTTTTGGTGCAGTGTGATTGGAGCCATACAAAATGTACACAAATTGCATGTGATTTGCACAGGAATGCGGTGCGGTTCCTGTGCGAATCACATGCGATGTACCGCACCACATTATTGTGAACCTTGCCTTAAGTAAGAGAAGTGCTGTTTGGAGGTAGAGGGAAATGACAGCATGTGTCTGAGAATAATGAGCCCGGTCTACAGACTGGCTACAGCTGTCATCCGTGTCACCATTGTGAGGATGGAAAGCAGCAACACCAACAGCCGTCCTCAATGAACATGGCATCCACTGGGAAGAAGCGAAGAGGGTATGTAGATGTACAATGGACAGTTATGTTCACATGCCACAGCCGGGATACTGTGCTTCACAGCAAATTCAGCAGGTAATGCCACCACCAGAAAATGTATATTATATAGGGCGCGTTTGTTGGAGCCCAACCTTTGTAGCTGTAGGATTCCTCTCCTTTTCAATGCCACCACCAACTGCGATCTATTCAAGCAGATGGGGCTGTGTCAGAACCACCCCTCAACTGTGTGCAATGTGATATAATCCCTCCTCGCCGCCTGTCAGACATCCCTGAGAATTGATCCCAAACTTGCCACATTTCTATAAGTAGCCTTAGTATTGACACAGAATGTGGAAACGTATGCAATCTATTAGTGTACAATGCAGAGATACAGAAAGTGTGACAGCTCACAGTCTAATAGATTGTTCAGTAGCAGTATAAAGACGGACTCTGAGTGAGAACAGGTTCTCCACACTTGGGTGACCACCAGTTACCAAGAAGAATACATAGGGATTCCAGTTTTAATAGCTTGGGGGTTTATGGGTTGAAAACCCCTGTGACATCTTCAACCTAATAGTGAAGATGTAGGCTTGGCTCATGGGCTGCCTGTATGGGAGGACCTGCTGCCATTTTGTTGATGGAACTATATTATAAATTACACTGAATCAGTGGGTTGGAGGAGCAGATTTTCCAGTATTCACTCATCATATATTCGTCAGCTTGAAGAAAGGCAATGTGTATGTATGAATGATATCAACAGACAAAATGTATACTCTGTGTCCAATATTGGAAGGAATCTTCTGTGCTCGAAATTTCCAGTGAAAAATACTGTTAAATTGACAAGTGTTTACAGAATTGTTCATTGACATATGTATAATAAATTATTCCCTGCACAGTATTTATATAATGACATTCATCCTTGTCAAGGACTTTGGATAATTAACATTTCAGTCACATTTTTTCCACCTGGTTATTTACATGTCAGTAGCTTTGACTTTTAATGACATGTATGTAACATCTGGAATAGATACTGTTTCACATAATCCTTCCAACTGTTCTCTCTCTACTTCATAGATAACTACTGATTGTTCCATTTCTTTTTTTCTCTTGCATATGTCAACAGAAATTTCAGCACCTCTATTTTTTTTATGTAGGTACAGGTGAGTAATAAAGTTTTTTACCCTCAGGAGTTTTAAGGATTTACAATAAGTCATAATAATAAAGACAGCCTTTGTTACCATGCATATAACTGTAGCTCTACACCTGCAGGGGCCACTTGGTAATGCTTGTCTGCAGTGGTTGCCATGACCTTGCAAGCTTCCTGACACTTCTGATGTTCTGGATTCAGACATATTTTAACAGTATTAAATAGTAATGCAAAAGACACGAATCTTTAGCAACACCTCTATATTAGGCTCGTTCAAAAAAGTACACCACAAAATGAAGGTTTAGGAGGTACAGCCCCTTAACCCAAAAAAGCAAAACACTGATAAAATGTAAATAACCAAATAGCAATGGTTAACAGTTTATATGGTCACAAATGTTACCTTATAACTATGTACAGTAACTGCAACACCAGCAGTAGGAAGGGGAAGATAAAGCTTGTTGACTTATCAGCTACCTCTGGACCACCAGCATCACAATAGGGAATACAAATAATTATGTAAACACCATAATTTGAACAACAATGGCTTTGATGCAAAGATGTCCCTTTAACTAGAAATAGCAAATTGAGTCCTGAGATGTTTAAAGTTCCTGATGTAATAGCAGCTATTGTATTCTGCTAGCAGTGGAGGGGCCCACCTACAGTAGCGAGTAATAGTAATTCAAGATAACAAAGAGAGGCTGTGGTAAATGCTCAAAGCAAAGATCTCTTTGTACTGAGGTGTAAAGGTGTCTATAGAGTGTTGTCAGAAAGAGTTGGGCATCTGCCTGCTCACCAATTCCATGGATAGCATGACCTCCTTGGAACAGGGTTATTGCACAGGCTCTTGGCTGTTCACAGGGAAGTGCAGAGTTACTGCCTGACAACCTGTCAGCCCGGCAAGCAGAGATGACTAGCTGATGCCTGGATAGTGGCAATCCCGATGCAGAGAAGCTGATGATCGGCATCTCTTCTGAACTGGTATGCAGAGTTCCTCATTTTTTTCTAGCCAGAAATCTGTCTCTGGAGGAGAACAACATACCCCCTGTGTTCAGCTGTAAATCCTGCATCAAGAAACCCCTGCCAGTCCATTACTGTAGAATATATCTCCTCTCCAGCAACCTTCTCCTTCCTCAGCTCTCTGATAGTTGTAGTTCAGCCAGCACTCAGAAAAACAATAAGTACTGGCTATAGGAATACAGGTCCCAGGATCCTCTGATGTCAGAAGAACTGGATGCACTCTGCTAACAGGAAGTGATGCAGCAGTCCCAGCACTGGACACTAGGGGGAAAAAAAGTTTAACTATAGTCTCATCTGTAAATGTCCCTGAATAGAATAATTATATAGCCAGCACCTGGCTACACAAAATTGCCTTATAAATATTGAACAAAAAGGTTTATACAATCTATGTAGAGAAAATGTAGAGAAACCTTCATTACTAGTGAACTTTTTTTTATTGGCAATAACCTTAAAGCCCAACTAGGGGCACAGAAAAAAAACTCTTGCACTTGCAATAATTTCCTTATTCTCCAAAAGAAATTCACACACTGCCACTACTTAATGGCCCTATAATCTATATTTCATAATTGTTTCTTACTGTGTTTTTTAGCCTCACTGTAATGTCCTCCATAACATCATGCTTGTTAGTTGCAGTCATGTGCACTACTCTATGTACACTAGAAATCCCATAGTCTATTGTCCTTAATCCAAACCAGAAGTGAACAAGAGAGGTTGGCTACATTCCTACAGCAACAAAAAGAAGGGTCAGCTGCACACCGAAGGATTGATGAATATAGTGTATATTTATTGATCCATAGGACACACAAAACACCAGGACATGAATACAGGACCTGTTAACGCGTTTCACATGATCGCCTGCTTAATCATGGACCATGGAGAATGAACAGGAAATTTCATCAAAGCAACAAAAAAAAAGTATTTGGAGATTTGGAGGAGGCTAAGAGCAATAGAAGGCCACCCTATCTTCCTGTGTCTCCCTGGGCAGATTGAGCTGTACTGCATAGTACCTTTGATGGGAGCACAGAGAAACCAAGACTTGGGACAGATGGGTAACAAGTCTGAAAGCTATAATGAAAGAGGTCTCAATGTGTATCAGTGGGGCGGACACAATTTTTTCTGTGCTAGATGGAGGGCCTGCTGCAGAAGATTTCCCTCACATGGAAGATGGAGAACTGGAAAAAAGAGTGTGTCAGTAACTAAATAAAAGGTGTCAGTGACTTTAAAACCTCTGAATGGAAACACATCTAGTCTGTCCTTCAGAAACTGTGACGTTTTTTACAGTCATACAGGAACATTAGTGATGAAAGTAACAGAATTAAGCTTGTATATAGGGAAACAAGAGAAGCTAAGATCGGACACACTTTTGAGTAGTTCACGTAACTGGAATAAAAAATGAAGAGTAAGAGGGTGCCCATACATGGAATGCAGGAAGGGACCAGTGTAACCCCAATAAAAGAGTCCGCACTTATTACTAAAAAAAGTGTGTAAAAATGTG